TTCAGGTGACATCATGATTAGATGGGATTAACACTATTTTGCAGCCAATATGCTTTTGGCAAAAATATACTTAGCATTCTGTAAATCAATTTACTGCTGCATAGATAGATAAATTCATTTAAGGATCTGTAAATGTGTGAAGAAAAAGTAGGGAATAGAATCAAAATCCAAATAAAACGGAATCATGACTGTGCTGCTTTTAGTTTGCAAGTGTCTGGAATAAAGGAGTTTGAACATGTTGGTGAGATTTTGGAATTCATGTAATACCATGAAGCTCTGAATATGTCAGATCTATGTATCTGTCATTTCTTCAATGAAAGAAGAAAAGTGGGGAGGGGGAACTGATAAAGAAATCCTTCTTGATGTCACCTGAATATATTTAATCTTATATCGAATTTGTATAACCTACACATGATACAATGGAGGATGAAACCCAGATGGCCGGAACCTATCACCTCAGAGAGACAGCCAGGAGATGAAGAGACCATAAAAATTCCACAGTGAGATGTGTCCTGGGAAACTCTGAAAAAGATCGTTCTAAGAAGGGGGTGGGGGGGGGATTAACATGTTGGCTCTTTGTTTTACTAAATACACATCAAGATAAGGGGAGGGGTTTTAAACTCCCTTATCTACCTCTGCATGCCTGAAAGACCTTAGATGCTGCTTTTAACCCCTACATGCATTGTCTCATCTCAATAAAGGATTCCTTTTGATACGTTTTGATATGTTTTCAGAAGTTCCTTCTAGTTGATTGAATGGGAAAAGTTCTGTAGCCTGACAGAATAGGAATATTTCTTTTAGGCAGGACTGAACTAAATTTCAACATTTGTGATACATTCCAATTTCATTTTTTTTGTTTTTTTTGCTGTTGATAATATGCTGTTGACTTAGGTAATGAAATAAATACCAAGGGCAACTTCTTAAAGTCTCAACATCAGGCTGTGGAGAACCAGACACAGCACAAATACTATGCAACCTGTCCATTGTGATGATAAACTCAGTTATTTAGACAGTTATTTAGTCAGTTGTTTGGAGTCCTATCTTTTATAAGCTTATCCAAAATCAGGATAATAGGACAAACTTTCCTATTTTTTTCACAGTAGTAGTTATGGAGGCTTTGCTATATTAACATGTTAGAAATAAAGCACGTCTGATTCAATGTTTCTACTCAAAATTCTTCCCTGTGAATATCTTTGTTTATTGATCAAATTTATATAACAACCATTTCATGAGAAGTAACTCTGGGAGATTTACAATATGTTGATAAATGTCATTATTAAAATTTTCAGGAAATGTTTCTATTCGACATTATCATGGCACTCAGTAATATATAGCTAATTTTAACTTCGTTTTTTTTCCTGAGGGACCTGAATCCTTGGAGAGAGTTAGAAGTTTGACTATTGAGGTCATTGATAAACAACTTAGAGGAAATAATTGAAGGGGAACTTTGCGGATGATACTAAGCTGGCAGGAATAGCCACACCCTAGAAGATAGGCTCAAGATCCAAATGGCTCTTGACAGACTTGAACACCAGGCCCTATCTAACAAAATGAAATTCAATGTAGAGAAATGTAAAGTCCTACACTTAGGCAAGAAAAACCAAAAGTACACATATAGTCTGGGTGAAACCAGACTTAATAGTAGTAACTGTCAGAGGGATCTTGGATTCTTAGTGGACAATCAGTTAAATATGAGCCAGCAATGTGCGCCGGCAGCCAAAAAACCCCAATGTAATCCTAAATTGCATTAACAGAGGGATACATTCAAGATAAAGTGAGGCAGGGATGGGCTTCAAAAATTTTAGAAATGGGTTCTCTGCCTGGTTGTTGGGTGATCATGGCTGTAGTGGGCATGGCCTAGTTGGCCTTCCGCACCATGGCGGAGAGAGGTGTTTTTGCCCTCCCTGGGGTCTGGACGCTTTCCTCTAGCCTCCAGGAGGATGAAAATGGCCTTCCTGGGCTCTAGAGGCTCTCTGGAAGCTGGAAACAGGTCCATTTCTGGCCTTCCTGAACTTCTGGGGGCCCATTTTTCGCCCTCCCTGAGTTCTGCATGCACCATGCACTTATCTGCATCCAAAATGGGCCATGTGGGGACTCCTAGGAGGGGTGGGGTAGGGTGGGTGGGGTCAGCCAGGAGTGGGATTTGGGGGTTTTGCACAGAATCTTAGCTAAGGGCTCTCCCAAACCCCTGCAAACCCACAGCAGCCCACCCCTGAAGTGAGGTACTAATACCACTCTATAAAGCCTTAGTAAGACCACACCTAGAATACTGCATCCAGTTTTGGACACCACACTATAAAAACGATGTTGAGACTCTAGAAAAAGTGCAAAGAAGAGCAAACAAGATTAGGGGACTGGAGGCTAAAACATACGATGGATGGTTCCATGACCTGGGCATGGCTAGTTTAGTAAAGAGAAGGACCAGGGGAGGAATGATAGCAGTCTTCCAATATTTGAGGGGCTGCCACAGAGAGAAGGGGGTCAAGCTATTTTCCAAAGCACCTGAAGGCCAGACAAGGAATAATGGATGGAAACTGAACAAGGAGTGATTCAATCTGGAAATAAGGAGAAATGTTCTGACAGTGAGAGCAATCAACCAATGGGACAGAAATTGCCTTCAGAAGTTGTGGGAGCTTCATCACTGGAAGCTTTCAAGAAGAATTTGGATTGCCATCTATCAAAAATAGTGTAGGGTCTCCTACCTGGGTGGGGGAGTTGGACTAGATGTCCTACAAAGTCCTTTCCAGCTGTATTCTGATTGATTGATTGATTGATTGATATAGGCCAATGTAGGATGCATCTAGTCTAGGCCATTAACCAATGATACATACTTTTGTGTTTCTTTAAGGGAGAGCATAAAGAGAGTATTATTTGAGAGAAACTGAATGGTTGTATGCAAATAGGAAACGACTTATTCATACATTTATACAGATAGTCTTCACTTAATATCCACTAGTTCAGTGACTGTTCAAAGATACAGTAGCATTGATTGAGGGGTACTTGTGACAGATCCTTGTTGTGACTGTCTCACTGTCCCCACATGGTCACATGGTCATGATTCAGGCATTTAGCAACCAGCTTGCAGATATGATGTTGCAGTTACGTGATCATCATTTGCAGCAAATTCAGTGGGAAAGCCATCAGAAGGTGGCAAATGGTGATTACATGACCACTGGGACACTGCCACTGTGCAGGATTTGCTTAATAATGGAAAATGAGACCACTGGAGCTGTGGTCATAAATCAGCATGATCATGTGGCATCATGCCTTAGACCAGCGGTCGCCAACCAGTGGGCTACGGTCCACTGGTGGGCCATGAGAAAATTTTGGTGCACCACAGAGAAATCTCACCCCCAGTGCACCCCCCCCAAAGCAATTAATCCAGGCTGCGCAGAAACTCAAGGTACACCGCCCACATGGCTGGCAGGAAACCTCCCCGCCCACTCACTCCTTACCCAGCAAACTTGCCTGATAAATTGCTATTTTTCCTTTTCCGACCATCACCTGTTCTGCTGTGCCGGGAGATTTAGATTAGCTAGGAAGCAGGAAATGGTTGGATTTCTTGCTTTCTAGCTAGTCTTTAGATATTAGGCTCTGCTTTTAAGCACAGCCAAACCTCCCTTAGGACTGAAGGTTCTGTTATTCAGTGCAGACTCACGGCAAGCAAATTTGAGAGACTGAGCTAGCCGACAGATAGATCACTGAATGATTCTGTGAGCAACTCAATCTGCCCGCCTGCTTTGCCTGGTTTTGGGTAAAAGTTGCTCCTTTTTTAAATAAAAAATTCAATATTTACATACATGGTGTGTTGTGAGTTAATTTTGTGAGTTTGCTTGCTAGCAAATTTTATGTGACAGACTGAGCTAGCTAATGGCAGATAGGTAGATTTCTGAATGAATCTGTGATTCTGTGAGCAACTCAATCTGCCTGCCTGCTTTGCCTGATTTTGGGTAAAAGTTGCTCTTTTTTATAAATATTTATAATATTTACATACAAGCCATGCCTAGCCAGTCACATGACCACCAAGCCACACCCACAAATTAGGGCACGCCTACAGAACCAGTTAGTGGTTCCTGGGACTTAAAATTATGAGTTTGGTGCTCCCTGAGGTCCAAAAGGTTGGCGACCCCTGCCTTAGACCATATTGCATAGTGATGGAGTTTCTGGTCCCAATGACTGTCCATAGGCAGGGACTACCTGTATAGTGTGTATATAAGTGTATCATAGACATCCATTTGCTGGACTGATAGGATGGAATGGGCAGAATTGATTCCATGTAGAGTTGATAACTCTAGATTAATAATATTAGAGCATTCTTAGCTCCTGAGAATATTCTTATAGGACCAGCAAAATGGAATGTAATATATTTTACCTTAATGATAGAGAGGAGGAAGCAAAGTACAATACAATCTCTTCTATACTAGTACAATAATTTTGAATCATCTGCAAAATTCTAATCTATTCACTGCCATCACACAGATATTGCACCAAACCTGTTATCTCATCTGCAATAATCATATTGGCTAGAAATTAAATTTTAGACCATAGACACCCGGACTTGATTGAGGCCCATTGTGTGTGTGACATTATTACAGTAGCCGCTGAATAAATTGAATGAAGTGGAAAAAACATGTCATACGAACCCAGCTACTTACTGTGTTCTCCCACAACTTATAGTACTCTTTTTGTTCCCTTTCTTGGAGAATAAAGTAGATTTCTCTTGAGATAAAAGCTTTACCAGAATTTTATTTTAGTGTATTTTTGTATTTGAGAGTTGTCCAGCATAACTGTTTGCTTTTGTCATCCAGAGATTGTATGTTGTGTTCAATGCACAAACTCCACATATTCCTGAACTGAGAAATAGTTTACATTTATACTGTCACTGTATATTGTTATCTGATTACTTTTGTTTGGGGGTAGGTTTGTCAGAGAAAAAATTTATTCCCATTTCTTGCTTAGCATCATCTTTACTCTAATTTTTTTTTTCTCTGCACTCCCAGGGCAGAGTTTAGGCTACGGCTTTGTCAACTATGTTGATTCCAATGATGCTGACAAAGCAATCAACACCTTGAATGGACTCAAACTGCAGACAAAAACAATCAAGGTGAGGAGCAGGTGGGAGGGGTGGGTGTGAGGGAAAACTCAAAGGCAAAGCAGAGCTCGGAAGGGATATGAATTCTCTATTTTTGTGCCCAATTATGTTTAACTCACTGTGAACCTGACATCATGGATTGGGCGGAGAGAGAATGATTGGCCCAAAGTCACCCAATTGGCAGGACTAGAACTCAGAGTCTCCTGGCTTTTATGCCAACATTTTCACCATTACACCAAACTGGCTCCCCCACTACACCTTTGAAGATTTAAAGACCTACATCTTTAATCTTCTGGGATTGTGGCTCATTTGGAGTTTTGAGAATACAGCATAGGCATAGTTTATTACATAACATTGATTGATGATAACATTTTGCTTTTTGGCCCCAAAGGGTGTTTTTTTGTTTGTTTGTTTTTTTACTATTCCTTCTCAAACTTTCCCACCAAACACTGGGTTGCAGCCTTTCTTCATTTTGATTTTCAAAGAGTTTCCTGGGGCCCACTTTACTCCATGAAAAGAGGGGTGGAGCTAGAGGCTGGCCCTTTGCTGTGTGTCAGCTTCTAATTTTGTAATTAGAAGATCTTATCTTCTAAGAGGGAGGGGGCAGGGAGGTAAATATACACAGGCACATTGACATTACCTTCCCAAATAATCAAGGAAGAAAAGATGTCTGCCCCACAGAGCCTGCAGTTAAGAGTTTTCAGAAAAAGTCTTGTAGAGAAAGGAAATAGAGGTAAAGAAAAGGTATCAATAAATAGGAATCTTGGCTCCCCTTCAAAGAGAGTGTTGTTTGTTTTATGATAGAAGGTTGTTGCTTTTGATGTGAGAATAGAATTCAGAAGATTGTTCTTTGCTTCTTTCTTGTAACTATGCCCTCCTTCCCACCAGGTGTCCTACGCACGGCCAAGCTCTGCTTCTATCCGTGATGCCAATCTCTATGTCAGTGGCCTGCCCAAAACCATGAGCCAGAAAGAGATGGAGCAGCTCTTCTCACAGTATGGACGCATCATCACCTCCCGTATCCTTGTGGATCAGGTCACAGGTAACACAAGAGCAGGGATCTTACCCCACACTGTGCCAGTGTTGAGAGATGAGTGCCAAGGGGACTAAAGCAGGGAAGAGGGGAGTGTAAGAAAGCAGGCTATGTTACACATTGAGGGTTGTGCATGTATTTGTAAGTATTGTTACTTATGAAAATAAATAATTACTTTGTATGATGCTGTTTCTGTGAAGTCATGTGCTCAAGTGTATATATTTTACTGCTCATGCGTATCTCTCTCTGTTACATATGAATCACAATTACTCTGCAGTTATTTTAGAAATAAATGAGAACTATCATTCATAATGTCACAGAGAAAATTCTAAATTTTATGTATGTCCAAAAACATTTAAATATGTTCCTGGACTGAGCTTTGACTCAGCTGAGTCAACTTGCTTTGGAGCCACTGAGCAATATAGGTTGTGGTTCCAACTCAAGCTCGGAAATATGAAAGAAAAGAAAGAGATGCCTAAGAGTAGCAATTGATCTATAAAGATTGCCAAATGCATTGCAAACAATTGCTTTCCTCTGGAAAATTAAAACCAGTAACAATGCTCAACATTACAATCAATTTTAGCTAGTAAAAGTTGGAATCTCTGCTAGGTGATATGGTTGCCTAAACAATCAGAATATGCAGTAATTGGCATTAATGCCCCCATTTCTTCAATTGTAGGTGTGTCTAGAGGCGTAGGATTCATCCGCTTTGACAAGAGGATAGAAGCTGAGGAAGCCATCAAGGGGCTGAATGGACAGAAACCGCTGGGTGCTAGTGAACCCATCACAGTCAAGTTTGCCAATAACCCCAGCCAGAAGACAGGGCAAGCATTACTCACACACCTGTATCAGACCACAGCCCGGCGGTACACAGGGCCTTTGCACCACCAAACTCAGCGATTCAGGTGAGACATGTTGCCCACACCTTCGTTGGAAGGCTGAGTGGTCAGGTCTTCTCCCCCACCCAGTACCTTGTAGCTGTTGTCCCTCTGCTTAAGGGAGATGTAGTTTTTAGATACCATACTTGGATATGTTCATCTTTAGTCTATCTTTAGTCTGTCACATATGAGTACCATTAGTCCACAAACAAATATAATAGGAAAAGCTTTTGTTTCCTTCTACAGCCCCATGGCACAATCATACCAGTTGCTTCTTAACAAAATGTCTCTTGCAAAAAATAATCCCTGGAGCTTGGGTCAGATAAACAGTTCTCATGTGCAGACTGTTCCTCAAGATACATTGGATCTCTTCCTTTTCTTGATAAAGCCTTGTATTTACAGCTGATGGCCACAAAGCAGTGCAAAAAGAGAAATTGTTCTTCCCTGTAAAAGGGAAGGACAAAACTCTTTTGCTGCTTTACTTAGTCTGCAAAGAT